GGTCGAGGCTGCGGTGGCCGGGAGCGGCCACTGCACTCCAGTCTGCGTGACAGAGTGTAACTCCAACTCAAAAAAAAAAAAAGTGTAGATCCTCAAGGCACCCTTGGTCCTTCCAGTCCCATTGAGCCACATACCCTGGATCTGGCCCTGGACAGCCAGAGCTGTCAGCTTTAGGGAGGGCCAGCCCTCTGGCCACTCCTGCACCCCCCTCCCAGACACCCTCCTGGCCATCCCCACCCCCACCTCCACTCGCAGCCAGGCTCACAAGGAAAGTCCAGGCTGTATGGCCTAAAGTTGGAGGCTGTTTGCCTCTCTCCAGCCTAGCGCCCCATGGGCGAGTGGCATCCCATGCCACCTCTGTGGATCCCTGTGGACTGACACTGGCACTCGCCATCCCTGGCCACCTCCCCAGGCCGTCTTCCTGAGTTCCTGCAACTGGGGCCTGCTCCACCTGACTCTTCTTTTTCTGTGGTCACAGCGACTGGCAGCTCCTCGGGGAAGGTAGAAGGCAGGTGCGGGCCTCGGGTGGAGGCAAGGGGTGTGACGGAAGGGGACCTGGCCACCTGCAGAAGTCCTCGGGACTCTGAGGTGCAGCTTTGCCAGAATGGCATGTCATCGAGGGTCCGGGTGCTCACAGGATCTGCTCAAGCCTGGGCCCCTCTTGACTCCAGGCCACTGCTGTCAGGCCGGGCGGCTCTGGCACAGGGAGGGGTGTGGGAGCAATCCTTCCTCAACCACACAGACTGAGGAGGGAAGTGGGGGAGTGGGTGTCGTCCCCAGAGAAGAGGACAGACGGATGCGAGAGCAAGACCTCAGTTCTCTCTGCGGACCAGCAGAGGGCCTCGGCCAAGTGTGCAGGGGTTCCAGGCCATGGCCCTGGGTCCATTTGTTCGGGGCAGGTGCCCTCAGCCAGCGGCTCGGTCCAGCCTCTACTCCTGGGACCTCAGCCCCAGGGATGGGTCATCGGTGGTTTCCCGAGAACAAGGGGAGCAGCCCCCAGACCACGTCAGCCTAAGGAATTAAAGTTTGGGTGCTGGGAAAGCTTTATTCCTCTAATTGGCTCCTCCCGGTCGTAGGGACTTTTCACCTAAAGGCTCAGCAGCTTTGAAGCTCACCCTGTTCTGCACTGAGCAGACACTCGAGCGCCTCAGCTGGAGACATGAGCGGGAGAGAAGGAGGGACGTGGGCGGAGGCGTCTTGCAGGCAGCTTTGGGGCCAGGAGTCAGGGCGCCACGTCTTTCCATCTCCACCGCGCTCACTCAAAAGAGTGCGGGAGGCCCTGGTGTGTGCGGCAGGGCAGAGCCGGGGTGGCACTCACGTCAGGGGGCGTGCTCGTGGCGGACCGGCAGGAAGCGAGTAGGGTGCGGAAGGCAGCGCCCCTGGACCGTGCGTCTCACAGCCTCAGTGCCTGCGTGGCAGGTGGGCTGGGGCTGGTGGCCGGCGGGGAGGCGCTGGAGGCCAAGGTGCTGCGGACAGCGTGGGCGGGGCAGGGGCCGGCCCAGCAGCACGGATGCGCTTTTCAGACCCAGAATGCTGTGGTCACAGCCATCAGGCCCAGGAGGTAGGAAGCCCTGCTCTGCAAGACGGCCGTAGCCCAGTACTTGCTGCGTGTGCGTGCCACATATATGTGGCCACCTGTGTCCGCCTCCTGGGATGGCCCTCTGAGGGGCGGTGACGGGTCAGGGCCGCCAGCCCACCCAGAAGCCGGAGCCCGGACCGAGGTGGTGCTGGTGACCCTTCCCCTGAGGAGGATCACCCAAACACTGTTCTCAGCTCCTGGGCCTAGGCCCAACAGTTACTGCCTCTCACTGAGCATGGGACCCACAGCCATCCCATCCCGGGGGACATGTCTGCAGCCACTCGAGGGCTGGCCCCGCTGACGTCTCTGTGCCCAGCACACCTTGATCCCTGCTTGGGCCGCACCTGGGGCTCGGGGCAGGCGCACCGTCTCTACCCCTGACCAAGCACAGGCTGACACACAGTCCTTGTCCTTGGCCCACTGTGGGGCCAGCCCTGGCACGGCCCAGCACCTACCTCTGTCTCCAGGGCTGGCGGGCCTGCACACGCTGTCCCAGTGTGGGCCCTATGGAGGTGGCTGGGCCAGCAGTCGGCTGCGGCGTGTCACCCCTAGGGGGCTGCGGGGGGCTCCAAGTCGAGCCGCTGGACAGAGACTCCCACCCCCAGTCCAGGAAGAGCCGGCAGGCAAGGGGGCCGCCTGGGGAGGGAGGGGACCCTGGGTGGGGAGCTCAATTAAGGCCCCTGCAATTACCCCCCCCGTCAATGGCTGGCCACGGCCAGGCCCCAGGAATCTCGCCCCAGCCACAAGGGGCTGTGTTTGGCCCCCCATTTGCCAGGTTCTGGTGGGAGTGGGGGCTGCCAGGTGGTGCACTGAGGGCGTGGAACGGCACAAGGACACGCACCCAGCCCCAGGAACTCAGGAAATGTAGTGCCGGCCCCCACTTTCTCCCTTTCTCTCTGAGCACAGTTGTGTGAGTGAGAGCCAGGGAGGGAGGCTGTGTCTGGGCTCGGGTGTTCCCTGTGTGTGCGTCCAGCCCCACCCATGGGATGCGCCCCGCCCTGCCTTCCCAGCCTCTCCCACTGACTGAGGAGGGGGGAAAACCCTGGTGGGGCTCAGATTTCTCAGAATTCAAGGGGCACCAGGGTCACGGGGACGGACGGAGCGCCCCAGAAGGAGAGCGGCTCACACCCAACCCCAGACGGGGCACCCGTGTACACACACGCATAGACTCACGCACAGTCACACACACACATGCACACAGAGATGGAGTGGGCAAATGTGGGGTCGGCACACCCACACACGTTCCCTGAAACACAGGCCACTAGACCACAGGGCAGCCGAGATCAAAGGCCTGAGTGCCCAAACTTTGTTCCGGAATACTCAGGCAGCTCCGCCCTGGAAGCCGCAGGCCGTCAAGTGGCTGAGCGACGGGGACCGTCAGGGCAGGGTCCGGCGGCTGTGACGGGACTGCTGAACCGCGGGGCCGCCCGACACTGGCACTGGAGTTGGTCCAGGGGAGTGGGGCTTCGGTGGTCCCAGGGTAGCTGCCTCCCCCACCCCGGCCAGGAACAAGGCCCCAGAGGCACTTTCTGGAACCAGGCACTTTTAATCGTGGGACGAGGCTGAGCCCCGTGGAGAAGGAGCAGGGCTCAAGGCTGGGGGCAGAGACAGGGGCTGGGAACCCTCGAGGGTGAGGGAGGCCCCCAGGGGGAGGCCCCGGCCAGCCTGAGTCACCCATGTTGGGGCTGGAGGGCCGGGGCAGGGAGGGGCAGGGATCGGGCCCTGTGGGTCAGGTTCCAGACGCCCAGCACCAAGCCCGGGACTGGCGGGTCGGGGTCAGGACCGGGCCTGTCAGTCATAGTCCCCGTCGTCAAACTTGGTGGTGAAGAAGGCTGCAGAGTCCTTGGCCAGCCGGGCCAGGTGCAGGGCACCGGTCACCACCAGCCCCAGGAGCAGCAGGGGTGGCACCAACGTCCACATCGCAGCCAGGATGTTGTAGCACTTGGCCTTGGAGCCGAAACGCCGGGCGGCCTCCAGGTCCCCGGCCACCTTCTGATCTCGGGCCTGTGGAGGAGGGGCAGCGGGACTGGATCTCTCACTGTTCTCGGGACCTGTGGGCCCCACCCTCCCTGCCCAGGGCACCTGACGGGTCCCCGCTGGACTGAAGTTCTGGAGGAAGAGTGGCCTGAGGGGACATGCCCCTGGCGCCTAGCTACGGCCCCATCCCAGGCCAGCCTGCAAGGGCCTCTGTGGGGGAGGCGTCTTCCAGGGTGCTGAGACCCCCATCACTGACACCCGGGAGCCGAAGCCAAAGGGACTCTGTCAAGGAGCCCACAGCTTGTGAAAGCCCCTTGTTTGACGAGAGGTCTCTGTGGGTCACGTCCATGGACTCTGTGCTCTTTTCTTGAGCACGAGCCCTCTATAGGGACCAGCAGCTCGTCTCGATGGAGAAGCCCTCACAGCCCCCACCTTGGTGAGGAGCTTTCTGGACCCTGCTGTGAAGTATCCCCTTCGCAAGCAGCCGCCCACAGAGCCCCGGCAAGCGGACCCCTCCTCCGCCGCCCAGGCGTCCCCCCGTGAAGCCCCGGCGGCCCACCTTGACGGAGTAGACCAGCGCCAGAAAGCCCAGGCAGCACAGATTCAAGTAGAGGGTGCTGAAGACCGACCAGATCAAGTGGTCTCGAGGTGGAGGGCACGGTGGCCCCATCGCGAGGGCCGTGTGGGCGGGGCCGTCAGCCTTGTGGGGCGTCAGGGCCCGGGGGTCCTCTCGGGGGAACGATGTGTCCATGGGTACCAGCGCCGTCTCTGTCTCGCTCAGACTGGGCTTGGAGGGTGGGTGTTCTCCGCTGCTTATAGCCCGGCCGCCCTCCAGCCCAGCCCGGCGACACCCGCTAAATATAACACAAATTACAGCCTGGAGACTGAGGGTGTGCCCGCCCCAGGGAGCCCCCATCTGGGGCTGCTGTGGGACATGGCGGTGGCTGTGGACCACCCACCAGAGCCCCCTCCTGTCTGGGCCATCTCACTCCTGGGAGAAGGCTGCGGGGGGGCATCAGGCACCCCCCCCACTCCATCCCCACCAGCCGTGGCTGGTAGGAGTGCGCAGCGGGCAGCCCCCTCCTTCCCGGCCAAGAGGAGCTGGAGGGGCCAGAGGAGGCAGGAGCCCCCCGTCGCAGGCTCGGCCCCCGCCTCAGCACCAGAGGTGCTGGAGCCACAGCCCCGCCGTCCCCGGGACTCAGCACTGAAGCCCGGCCCCGTCCCTCTCGGGTCACTTGCAGACGTCTCTGCTGACGCGCTAGCGGGGGAGACAGCCCAGCGCCAGGGACAAGGAAAGGCTGTCTGTCAGAGGGTGACGCAGCTGGGGGAGAACAGCCCGGGAGAGAGGCGAGGGGGCGAGGCAGGTCAGGGCGTCAGCGAGGAGTCCCGGAGGCCGGCGGCACCTGCTGTCAGGGGCTGCAGGAGGCCCCAGGCCCACCATAGTGCGTGGCAGACGTGCCTCACGGTCCCCTCTGCCGTCCTGGGTGAGCAGTTCCTTCTGCCTTTCTGGGCTGCTTGCTTTCATCCTCCACAAGCCCCCGGCATTTGTGAGCAGGGTGGTCCTGTGGAGGGCAAAGCTCCGTCCGGGTCTCGTCTCATGTGGCTGTGGATGCGTCCACGTGCCGGTGATGCACGTGTTTGTCTTCCACCCAGACTTCCTCCCCAGCCCAGATGCACAAGTGCTTGCTCCATGGAGGAGGGGGCACCCAAACCACAGACCTGGGACACTGCCCTCAAGCCTTCTCCGCTCAGCCTTTCCCAGAGCAGCGGGGTTAGCCCTACCTGGCCGGCTACTCTGGCCTGAAGCCTTGGTTTCGTCTTCCACAGGCCACACCGAGTGCCAGGCAGGCCGAGCCTCTCCACCCCACTGCAGCTGTCCGAGACCCAGCAGCAGTCCCCTCCCCTGGGACCGGCACTCGTGGCCTGCCCAGGGGTGGGAGGGTCACTGCTGCTCCGGAGTCTGTGCCGCAGGCAGAGTGATCACGTTACACCAGAGACAGGCAGTGTCTCTCCTCGGCCCACAGCGCTGCCATGGCTCCCTCTTCGCTTCGAGGGAAACTCAGGCCCCGGGATGCCCCGAAAGGCCTTTGAGGGGGCTCCTGCCCACATTCCCAGAAAGCAGACTCCCAAGGGGAGCTCTGTGGGTCGAATGTTATTCGTTATTCAGGGGCTTTTATGGTCCAGCCCTGCGGAACGGAGAGGAAGGAAGCGGAAGGAGAAGATGAGTCACGACACATCCCACAGAGGGCCCAGCTGACCCGCGGAAGCTCTGAGCGGACAGGGCCTTCTGCACACTCCAAGAGCAGAGCGAGAGGCCCAGGCTCTCACAGTCATGCTGGCCAGAGCTGGGGAGGCATGACCTCAGGTGACCTTGATGGCAACCCTAGATCCACAGGACTGTGCGCCTCGCTGCTGGGAAGGAGACCTCCCTTCCCAAGGGTGGATGTTAGGTGCGGCTCTGTGGTTTGCACAAGCTTCAGGTCAAAGCCCACAGCCCCAGGCCCCAGGCTGACTTGAACTGCATCTGGCCGAGAGGCACTTGGGTGCCATTGGTGGGTCTGACCCATGTGTTGATTCCTGCCAGGGTCCCTCTGACCCACTGGGCCAGACTGGTAAGGAAAGGGAGCATCCCCGCACCAGCATCCTGCACCCACGAGACCCTGAGGGTGGCATGCCCTTCTGCTCTCCTTCCCACTGCTTTTGGTCCGGGTGGGGTAGGTGGTGGGAGCCATTCCGGAGACGCCACCTGGTCGTCCCCAGGACGGTGGCTGTTACCCGCCTGCCTGTGGCCTGTGTAGGGCTGTGCCCACCCCCACTGCTCTCTCTTAAATGCCTGGAGGGGCCGGTCCATGGCCGCGGCCTCACTCTCCTTGGCCCCCATGTTCCCTGCGTGCGCCGGTGGTCAGGACGATGCTTTGCATGTCGGAGACCTGGGCCCTGTGTCCAGTGATGCCTGCAGTGTCAAGGCTTCCCCTTTCTTCCGGGCCCACTGCCCAAGGGAATGGCCCCAAGCTCCTTGGGAAGGACCGGGTGGGACAGAGCCCACAGCTGGGGTGTGGCAGGGCCCCTCCTCCTGGGGAACTCTGACCTCACTCAGTCCTTGGTCCAGTCCGAAGACTCGGGGTTGTGTGGAAAGGAGTCTTTCCTTTCTGTCCCCACAGATGGACAGGGGCCAGTGACCCTAGGACAGAACTGCCCACAAAAGAGCAGGGTCCTGTCAGACCCACCAAGTCACAGTACGGGTGGGACCAGCAAGAATGCATTTGGGGATGGGAGTGGAACATCTTGGAGGGAGCACGCAGGTTGCCCTGACACCCTGCCATGCACCCTGTCCCTCTGCATGCTCCTGGGCCTTCAGGGGGAACCCCAGGGAACAGGTGGTGGAGAGGGTAGAATTCAGAGCCTGGCGGGCTCAGTCTGCTCCCTGTGGGGCTGCATTTAGGACTGGGATGGGGCTGTGGTTTTTTTTGTTGTTGTTGTTTTTGTTTTTGAGTTGGAGTCTCACTCTGTCGCCCAGACTGGAGTGCAGTGGCATGCTCCCAGCCACCGCAGCCTCAACCTGTTGGGCTCCGGCGATCCTTCCGCCTCAGCCATCCAAGTAGCTGGAACTAAAAGCATGCACTACCACGCCTGGCTCGTTTTGATTTATTGTAGAGATGAGGTCTCGCCAAGTTGCCCAGGCGGGTCTCGAACCCACGGGTTCAGGCAATCCACTCACCTCAGCCTCCCAAGGCACGGGATTACAGGCTGAGCCACCGAGCCTGGCTGGGGCTGTGGTTTTAAAAAGTGAAGCTCCCTTTTCTGGCCGGGCCGCTCCGGTCCCTGCCGCCTCTCCCCGCCCCTTGCAAGCTGGCCTCCGTCCTTGTCGCCCTCTCGAACGTGGGACCTCCAGGGAGCGTGCGCCCTCCTGTACATTGTCGCTTGCCACGTGGCCCCCAGGCTGACTGCTGACCCCAGAGTTAGGGTGCTCGCTGCAGGGTGGGCAGAGGGGCGGGGTGCACTGAGATGCCAGCGCTTCTGACTCTGGCTTCTGCAGTCACCCTGCCACTGAGGACTCTACCGCTCACCCCAGAGGAGCAGAGACAAGCCCGGGGGACTGGAGGAGGCAGCAGCCAGGACAGGGCGGAGCCGGATCCGCCCAGCAAGAGTTTCTGGGTCTGAGGTCCACGTGCCGCTCCCTGGTCCCTTCCGTGCGTCCCTCGGGGCCTGAGCTGCCGCGTGGACCGGAACCACAGCTCCAGCCGGCCTAGGGCCAGGCAGCTTTATCCTGGGTGCAAAGATGCTCTGGACACTGTACCCCTGGGTCAGGCTCCACCTTGGCGTCAGAGGGGCCGCCCCCAAGGGCCCTGTTTCAGCGGCTGCCCACAGCAGGGGGCCAGACGCCTGTGGATCCTGCCCTCTCAGAGCTGCACAGAGGCGGGTGGGGCCTGCAGCGGCCCCCCTGTGGCTCAGGACCAGGCCGGGACCCTCAGCAGCGCCCCCTCTGCAGCACCATCAGACACATGCACTTTATTGACCGCCACTGTAGAAAAGCGTGTGGACAAAAACCACTGAGTGAAGGGGAAGGATGGGGCCGGGGCCAGCAGCCCCAGGGGGCAGGACGGCCGTGGGTGGGGGAGGGCACGAGTCGAAGGCCCGGAGCCCCTCATCAGTTGCCTCTGTTTCTCTCTAGGAGGTGTTGAAGCATATGATAGATTGCCACGGAGAATGACATCATGAAAATGATGGTGCCGATGGTCGCAAGGATGCCGACGATCAGGGCTGAGATGTTCAGGCACCTGGCGGTGGAGGCGTGGGTCTGGGCCCCGTTCATGTCGCCCGCCATCTTCCTGTCCCTCGCCTGGGGAGACGAGATGGTGAAGGGCCTGGGAGCAGCGCAGAGGGGAGTGGGGTCCCATGACTCAGGACCCCGGCTCCTCCCCACCCTGGGCAGGCTGACCCCTGTCCTTCCCGGAGATTCGGGACCTCTCCTCCCTTCCTCTGGACTCTCCCGCAGCCTCAGGGCTCATCCTCCCTCCTCTTTGGCCCCAGTGTGGCTGCTCACCCCACCCTGGGGACGTCCGCTGCGTTCCTTTGCGCTTTCTGAGAGGGCCTGGGATGCCACGGTCTGTCCTGTCGTTTCTGGTTGGGGGCTGTACGAGAATTTCTCGGGCTGGGGGTAGTAACGAGTCTGACCCAGCCAGCCCCAAGCTCACTCATCCTGGTCCTGCCCTGGGAGATCCCTGAGCCCCCCACACGGGCCTACACACATGCAGAGAAGGGCACACAGCAGAGGGGACACGCCAACTCACACCCGAAGACATGCAGCCTCACCCTGGTTCGACCTGGGCCAGTGGGACTGGCCGGCTCACAGGCAGCTTCCTAGATGCCCCCTGGGACCCTCACACACCTTCACGGAGTAGGCCAAGGCGATAAAGCCCAGACAGCACCAGTTCAGGAAGAGCGTGTTGAACAGGGACCAGACGACGTGGTCGGGCATGGAGATGTCGCTGTGGATGTGGATCACGGTGGACGTCAGGGCGTGGAGTTGCTGGGCATCCCCAGCACGCCCACCTCGTACTCCTCTTTGGTCATGTCCAGGCTTTGGGGGAAGCACGTGCTGTGAGTGAGGAAGGTTTGTGAAGTTGGGTTCACGCGGTGGAGACAGGAGCCGTTGTGGGGGACAGATGCTGAAGGGTGTTCAGCCGGCCCTCCCCTTCCCCTGTAGTTTCTGCTTCTCAGAAGAGGATTTTTCAGAAGTTTCTATTTCCTGCTATTCATAATCTGGTAAATTTGCTGGA